CACTCAGATATTCAGCATTATTCATAAAGATGGAAAAGTAGAAACACCCAAAATTATCCATCAACTGATGAACAGATAGATGACTGTGGTCTATCCTTAAAGTGAAATATCATCTATCAATAAAAAGGATAAAGTAGTGATAAATCTATAATGTAATTTCAAAAAGCGACAGAAGCAAGTGAGTCAGGTTCGTATCACTGTGACAATATAACCTGAGATAATTTAAAAGGAGGAAAGCTTTATTCTGGTTCATGGTTTTGGAGGGCTCAGACCGTGGTCACCTGGTCTTGTTGCTTTAGACCTCCGGCACGTACATCACATGACTGACAGGAGTATGAGGCAAAGAAGGCTGTTCACCTCATGCCAGTCAGAAAACCAAAGAGGAGGATGGAATAGGGTCCCATAATCACCTTCAAGCATACTTCCTGTGCACTAACTTTCTTCCACTAGGGACCATCTATGAAATGTCTCATTCCCTTTGGTAATGCCATAGGCTTGGGACAAAGTCTTCAACAAACAGGTTTTAGCCAGGTGGTCAAGATCCAAATCATAATAGCAAGTCACAAAAGAACAGATATGACTGCATTTATATATAATGTCAAAAAATACACATACATAAAAGACAGAAAGGAGATCTACTGTAGCCCTGGATTGGAGACTGGACTAGAGAATAGTTATAAATTGGCATGAGATTTCTCTTTAGAGTGATGGAAATGTCCTAAAATGACATCATGGGGAAGTTTGTAGATATGCTAAAATTCATTGAAAAGACAGGTAGATTTTATTTTATATAAACTACTTCTCAATAAAGCGATCTTGCAAAAGACTTTGCATATTCTAAATAGCTGGGGCATTTTAAATTGAAGTAAACACAAAAACTAAATTCAGTGAAATCTGTGAGTTTTTTAAGTTAATCTATTTCCAAGTACAAATGGTACATTATGTTACGAGTATAACTTTGAAGGTTAAAAGGCTTTGTGATTGAGAAAAGGAAATTATATAAATCATATAAACAAAGCCATAAATGTCACATAGCTTTACCACCTGCTCTAGTGTTTCATTTAAGGCTTCCTGGGAGTCTAAGTAGTATTCAAATGTAGCCATGACACTTACTAGGCAAGTTCTTTAATTTCTTTCTTTTTTTTTCCAGACTCTTTAATTTCAAAGGCATTTTATAATGTACACTTGAGACATAAACAGTGTTACTTTATGTATGTGGGCATCTTTTGAAACGGAAAATAGACACCTTTTTCAACTTTATTCAAAGAAACATTAAGATACCAATCTTGTGTTTAAATCACATTGTGAAAACCATTAAGTAAATTAATTTCTGTATTAAAGTAACCATTTTAAAAGTTGCTCATACTGAATAAAGATGCCAGTCATTGACCTTTTAAAAAGTATTTCTTGAATTTTCTGCAAAAATACCTGGCAACACTATGTTTAGCTTTCCACTTTCAATTGCTCAGATTTTATAGTAAAAAGAGTTTACAGTAATCACACAGTACACTTCTCTCATTTTGCTGGTGAGAAAGCAACGTAGTACAGGACAGTTTCCTTCCTGATAAGTAAAATTTATTTCTCAGCCTTTAGGCTCGATATATACAAGCACATTAACTTGCCCCTGGTGAATAGCTGCGCTTTGGAAAGCCCCAGTGCAACAGACTGAATAACAGTCCCTGCCTGCCTCCTCAACCTGCCAGGTCCTAATCCAGCAGTCTATGAATAAGTTATTCTACACAGTCAAGGGACTTTGCAGAGATGATTAAGTTAAGGGTCTTGCAATGGAAGGATTATCCTGGATTAGCTGGGTGAATACAGGGCTATCCCAACTGTCCTTGTGAGAGGGTCAGAGTCAGAGAAAGGTTTAAGAAAGTCAGAGAAAGGTTAAAGAGGAGAGAAGATGCGACACTGTTGGCCTTGAAGTGGGAAGGTGGGGCTTGGAGCCAGAGAGTGCGTGAGGCCTTGGCCAGCTGGGAAAGGCCAAGAGGTGGTTTCTTTCCCCCGCTCCTATGAAAGGAATGTGTGCCCATTAGCAACGTGATTTTAACCCAGCCACTTTTGTTCAGGCAGTATTGAAAGTCATAAGGTAAGAAAACAGACATCAAATGTGTCCAAATAGGAAAGGAAGATGTAAAACTGTGTTTGAAGATGGAGTGATTTTGTGTAGAAAACACCAAAATCACACACACACGCACACACACACACGCAGAATAGTATCCTTAAAAAGAAGGAAGTCTTGTCATTTCTGACAACATGGTGAACCTAGATGAGATTATCTTAAGTAAAATGAACCACACACAAAAAAGGAAGTTCTCGGGAATTTACTTCTACTCAGAATCTGTAAGAGTCACTTGAGGGCCGGGTAAGGTGGTGCATGCCTGTCACTCCAGCACTTGGGAGGCTGATGTAGGAGGATTCTTGCAAGTTCGAGGCCAGCCTGGGCTACAAAGTAAGCTCAAGCCCAGCCTGAACTGCATAGGTTAAAGAGGAAAAAAAAAGAGTCACTTGAATTCACAGAAGCAGAGTTCAGAATGGTGCCAAGGACTAGGTGTGAAGAGCAGAGGATGAGGACATTTTGGTCAAAGAATATGAAGCTTTGGTTAAGCGAGATGAATTAGATTCTGCAAATCTAATGTGCAGCATGTCAATTATAATTAATAACATTGTATTTTATGCTTTCAATATACTAAGGCAGGGGGCTGGGGATTTAGCTCAGTGGCAAAGCACCTGCCTGGCAAGCGCAAGGTCGTGAATTCGGTTCCTGGTACCAGAGAAACCCCCCCCAAAAAAAAATATACTAAGGCAGTGTATCTTAAATATTCCCTCTATGAGGAAAAAGGAACTCTTTGAGGACAGAGATGTATGTCTTCTTTTTGTTTTTGTTTTTGTTTTTTGTTTTTCTTCCGGTACTAGGAATTGAACTCACAACCTTGCACTTGCCAGACAGGCGCTCTGCTGCTGAGCTAAATCTCCAACCCCTGAGGACAGATATGTAAATTAACTTGATTGTATGGTATACGTACAATGCGTATCTGTCTCAAAACACCATGCTGTGTACTTTAGGATAAGGAAATTTAATTTGTCAGTAATACCTCATTAGAGATGTGGAAAAACAAAAATAAATGACAGCAACATATAATAAAATATAAAATAAAGAAGCGGGACAAAATTATCAAAGACAGAGAGCTTTTTATACTTCTGACTTCCAGAAATGTGAGATTGTAAGATGAGAAAGTCAAGTTACAACTATGTGTTGTTTTATATCACACATTTGTAGGAATTTCTTAAAATAGCAACTGAACTCTAACAGGATTTGAAAAATTAGGAAGCGTCCTCTAGAGTACTTGAATTACAAATACTTATTTTTATATTTAATTTATAAAGAAAACACCTCAAATCCATTGGGATATTTTTGATGGGTTGATGTTTGAATTTAGAGTATAACAAAGTTAGAATCAAAGCCTCATTCCACCTTCTAATATGAGCAGAATGCTATTCCTTAAAAGTCCTTATCTTACATTCATTCCTGCCGGGGATACAGAACGACAGTGAACAAGAGTCCTGCTTGCCACCCTTTCCACACTGCCATGGAGAAAACATCTAAGAAACAAGGATATAGGCTGAACATCCTATTTTCTTTATATTGCTAAAAGAGAATAAAAGCTGGGCATGGCAGTACACACCTGCAATCCCAGCACTCTAGGAGGCTGAGGCAGGAGGGTCAAAAGTTAGACCCTAGCCTGGGTAGTTAAGAGTGAACAAGACTCTGTAACAGAATATAAATAAACAAGAAATAAGGTGTTGAAGATGTAACTCAGTGCAAAAAGCCAGGTTCAATTCCCAGGAAAAAGATTGATAGATAAGATAGACAGATAGATAGATAGATAGATAGGTAAATAGATAAGACAGATTAGATTGGTGATCGGTAGGAAAGAAATAAATAGTATAATCTTAAGTAATGACCTGGAATAAAGAACCAATTTAATTTTTAAATTAAATTAAATTAAATTTTTTATTTTAAAGAGAGAAAAAAACCAAGAACAAAACCAAAACAACAAAGACAATAACAAAACAACACAAAAGCAATAAAAATGATACAGAATTTCAAAATAAGATGATAGGAAATTAACAATAGTTGTTATATTGTATATTGTTATCTTCAAAGAAATTGCTCAGGTTACCAGATGTAAGTATGCAAGATTGATCAAACAAGTAAACATTAACTTTTCCTTTCCATAAATCACTAGAAATTAGTGGTAAAATTCTCTTAGCTGTCATATATATATATTTCCCTTCCCTTTCTCTTTTCCCCCATCCCAGCTGTTCTTTCCTTTAAAAAAAAGATAAACATAATAATGAAACCGAGTTTCAAAACAAGTTATTAGGACAGGTACAACAGTTAATGCATTGTGTACTGCCCTCCTCCTAGAAGTTATTCAAAGAAGATATACGTATGCTATCCTGAAAAGACCCAATTTCAAAGGAGAATTTGATAGGTGAAATTCACCTGAGACCTGCAGGATAAGCGAGGAAGCCACCAAAGGCAGTGCTATATTTGCTTTATTTTGGAAAGTGATATTTGTCCGGTGAGTTGAATCACAGCACGTGAGGACAGCTGGGGACAGAGCCGGGCAAGCGGAAAAGGTAAGTATTTGAATCTGAAGAGCTAGGCAGAAGCCAGGTGTCACGGTGATCGCAGAACTGTTGGTACTGTTACCCGTTACCAATACGGACTCCTGAAACATGGACTCCTGAAACATGGCGTGGAGCCCTGATGTTGTTTACTTTCAGCTCATCTTGGCTGACGGATGGGAGCGATGTAGCCCGGCTGAGGCCCCACCCAGGCGCAGACAGCAGGGACGCAGCTGCCCTGCAGTGCCCCGCAGGGGTCCTGGGGGGAACGGGACCAGCACCGCGCAGGAAGGATACAGAGCAACTGTGCTACTGAATTTCTTCTTACTCCAAGGGGAGGGCTAAACACAGAGGCAGAGCCGTGAATGACAGAGGGGAGGAGGCCTCCCACGGACGGAGTCCTGCTCATAAACCGGCGGAAGTGGGCAGGAGCAGCTTCCTCTCTCCTCTGCTGTTCCTTTTCATCCCCCGTTCAACCCTGAACAAGCACCAAACAAACCTCAGAAGCATCTGTTTCTCAGTAGCACCCAGAACAGGGAAAACCAAAGGAGAGACCCCGTTTCAAGGAGCTGTCGGAGGAAAACCAAATGAACTATTCACTTGAACTCTTCTTTCAAACATTATGATTTGTCCATAATTCAAAGAAGAAAGTGTGTCACGAGTAAAACAAGTTTTTGTAATGCAGATCTCGGAGCTTCTTCTTTTCAGCTATGAATTTATTTTCTTCTTTAACAGATTTAAGTAAAACTGGTTCTCGATTCATCCAGATTTTTCTCATTAATTTGTAAATAATTAAGAAACCATTTGAAATGCAAGAAAAGAAAAGGAAAGGGAGGAGGTTTGGCTTATGCATGAAAAATAAAGACAGGGCATATTTGGGTACCAGCAAATCATACCTCTGTCCCTCCAGGAGCTATCTGTTACAGTCTCTGTAACGGACCACAATGAAATCGTTAATCATTGTAGGTAGTCCTCAGACTACTTGGGAAAAAAAACCAGCTATGATATGTCAGTCTTTCTAATGTGGCATTATTTTCCTGTAGAGGATACTGAGTTTATCTGCTGATTCTTGCAACTGTGGAAATGATAAAACCATACTCTTCCTTACAACTTTTTGATGAATGGGCTTTTGTGGTCAGACAACTAGTCTATGTCCTTTCCAACAAATGATTCTAGACAGCTAAGTTAGGTAAAAGTATTCTAGGCAGTCAGACAGGGCCAGGCCCTCAAGGGAGTCAGTGCAGAAGATGAGAACATATTACAGCCGTGGCTGAGGGCCAGACATCAGACAGGGATGGGGTGGATGGGTTGGGGATTGCGCTCACGTGGTCCAGTGAAGTCTCGGCAGATGTGGGGTCACCTCGGTGGGTGGCCAGGACCCCCTCATTCATCTCTTGCTCAAAAGGTCCTTCTTCTTTCCAGGGCATTTGCTCCCTGAGCTGCTTCCCCATTGGACCAATATTAGCTAAGTGGCTGTACTCATAATCTTATTGGTGGGTCATAGTTTTGCCACGGGTTGTACGTACCTTGTGATTTTGTACCCACCTGCAATTTTGCTGTATAAAACTTCTTCTGCAAAGCGGGGTCCACAGAACCCATTTTTCGTGTTCCCCTCCTGTCTCTCAATGTATAGCTGTCTTTCTCAATAAATATTTCCTACTCTTAACCTTCGTTGTTCCTTACAATTCATTCTTCTGTCTTGGGGAACACAAATGGTATCTGATGTCTAGCAAGTTGGGAGCTACTTTTATGTCCCCCATATCAAGATGATTGTAGTATTTAAATATAAATCGTGATGGTATTTTCCTATTTCTCCCTACCAACTGCATAAGCACAAGCAAATATTAAATAATTTCCATGGTTTATATTTTCTACTGATGTTGACACTATTTTTTCAATGGTAAACAACAGAGAAACAAATTCAAAGTCACTTCAACACAATTCATAGACTGTGTATTGGGACTCTCTCATGGAACTCCAGAGCAGGAAGCACAGGGAATCCTCCAAAGGTTCTGGAGGGAGCCCAGGTTGGTGGTGTATGCCTGTAACCCCAGCACTGGGGAGGCTGAGGCAGGAGGATCATTTCGAGTTTGAGACCAGCCTGGGCTACAAAGTGAGCTCAAGGCCAGCCTGAACTGCAGAGCAAGACCCTGTCTCAAAAAGATAAAAAAAAAAAAAAAAAGAAAAAGAAAAAAAAAGAAGAAACAAAAATCAAAGATTCTGGAGCCATAGAGGAGGAAGTCATCAGGAAGTGGGATCTCTTTCTTTCCGCCTGTTTTTATTTCTCTCTTCCTCTGTGTGTCTCTCTCTCCAAACCCTTGCGCACGTGAGTGGTTTCCTGTCTCTCTGTCGCTCTCACCCATTTCTCCTGGATACCCTCCCCACCTTTCTTCTCTCTACAGATCAACATTCCCTGTTCTGCCCCAGCCAGAGCCAAATATGGCTTCGTTTCTGCTCTGAGTTCACTTGCGTTTAGCTCAAATAAGCACACAACCAACCCTGCCGGCCTTTCATTTCCAGGCAAAAGAATTTACTGTCCCACTGGGGCTGGCGCTGCTCCCTGGGTGGCTTCAGGAAGAAGCAAGACCTCTCTCATTTACCAACACTTACGAACAATTCACGTTAGGTAATAGAGTGTTTTCTGAGTGAGCTAGCTCCAAGAGATGCAGTGCACTGTAATAGAATGATGCTGAGGAGCACCTTTGTAATAAAGAGATAAGGAAAAGGTTTAATTATGGAGGTTTTAACCCTTGTGTCAATAATAGTGAACTCTTATATTCAGTCACAATAGCTACTCAGGACCACACACTATTCCAAGCCGCTCTCTCTCTTTCTCAATCTCTCTCTCTCCCTTAAGCCCTATTTTATTCCTTACACAAATAACATACATACTACTCTTATGATTCTTAAACTCTATGGGGTAAGGAATATCGTTGTTTTGGTTGTACAGAAAAAGAGATTAAGGGGATGAGTGTGCTGTTCAAACAGACAGGAAACTGGCTACAGGTCTAGGAGTGGAGCCAGGACCCTGTGTGCATAGCTACTGGAACATTCTAGCCTCTGAATTTGGTATTTTAACCTTAAAGGCTCATCACTATTTCTTATTTTTATTTTTTTTTTCATCACTACTTTTTAAATGAACCTACAACACCCGAACTATTCTCTTTTCTAGGGAAATCATCATCCGAAATTTTCTCCTGCAAAGTTTGCTTTCCATTCAAGCTGTGTACATTGTACTTAGCATCCTTGATTTCACTTCTCCCAGACATTGTTATTTCCCCGCCAGTGACATTTCCTGAATTTTACAAATACTGTCGGTCTCTTTAATGAGGGTATCATGTAGATGTTTTTCTTCTTTTCAAAAATAAGAAATGTAAAAAAAAAAATTTACATCTTCTACCAATTTCTGATTAACCCTACTAGATACAAGGTAGAATACCATTTTTATTACTTTTTGGTTTTCTTTAATAGTCCTATGTTTAGTACATTCTTGGGGATCAAAGGCAGTTTAGGTAAATTTTTCACTGAGAGCTGAAAAATACTTGTTAGTTTTTTTCCTTCCTAATTCAGTTTATACGATGGAAAATTGGTTTTTGGTGTAAGTATATTATAAATTCATAGACTGGTCGTTGTAAATTATACATTATAAACTCATAGACTGGTTGCTATAAATTGAAAATTTAAGGGAAATATAAGAAATACGAGTATATAGACTTAAACCTTGTGTTTGACAGAAGTCAGATACATGATTTTATCCTTCAAGAAGGTATGAAAGTTTATATTTCTGTAGCTACCGCTAACAATTTACAAAAGATGTGCTCTGATTTCATCCTAACTAAAACTGTTATTTTATCCTCGATTTCACAAATACACGCAGAAAACTGATGTTTACTTTTCTGCCTCAGTTTTATGAAGACTGTATAAGCTGAAACCAAGGTTTATACGAAGAAATCGCTAGGTTTCCACAATTTCACATGACATTGCCCTTCCCCGTGTGGACTTTAATATGAAAACTGCCTGGCCACGCCTACGGAAAAACTAAATTTCACTTCCATCCTAGAGAATTGGGCGGCCTTGCAGCAAGTCAGAGGGAGCTGGATTAAGCTCAGCGGCACAGCGCCTGCCTGGCAAGCGCAAGGTTGTGAGTTCGATTCCCGGTACCGGAAAAAATAAACCAAAAAAAAAAAAAAAAAGGTAGCTGCAAACAAGTGCTATTAACACCGAGAGCTTATTTTCCAAACAGGTTGCTACTTCCAGTTTTTGAGCCGGGTTTTGAACTCGTAAGTGGTAATTCCCGCCCAAATAAAGCAGAGCTCTAACCCTCTGAAAGACACTCTGCGCTGGGGACGGCCGTCCTC